TTTTAGATATACTATGTTAAAAAAAAAAAACTTATAAAGCATCCCGGAAGTTTTTTTTTCCAAATATTTATTTAGTTGTAAATGAACACACAGTATCTTTATTTTTATGTAGTGCTAATGATTGAACCCAGTGCCTCACACATGAGAGGCAAGCACCTTACCACTGAGCTACAGCCTCAGCCCCCATCCTGGAAGTTTAAAACTTAATTTTTTTGAAAATAATTCCAGAGATTTCTTTTCAAAATATGTTATTATCATTAGCTGTACTCGTACACATAAATGGCAGTATGATGACTTGTGCCTGCTTTTTATTTAAACTCTGGAAAGTTCAGGGGAGAACACTCTTAAGAATATTGAAGTGACATTAGAGCAGCCAGAAGTGAGATTTCTGAAAAAGTAGTCAAAATATAACAATGATATGTCAAGAATTATACCTTTAAAAAAAAGTAGCTGAAATCAWCACTTCTGTACTACTCAGTAAGTTTGGAGACCACTTACTCTCTTATTAGAGGTCTCTGTTCTGGAAGGAACTTTATTGTGAAGATGAGAAGGGAGAACTTTTAAGGAACCTTGCAAGCTATTGCATTTTCTGGTAACCTTATACATTAGGTGTATGCCTTAAGCTTTCATTGTGATAGTTTACTTAGGTCTTGGACCATCACCTTAGTTCATTTGTGAGAATGCTATTCCCTTTAGGGATATAATCCAACTAATCTCTTGGTGCTTCTTTTTATTTCTCTCTAAAACTAATGAGTGTAGACAGAAACATCTAAGACAGTCTACACATGAGACTGAATCTGATGAATGAGTATTGTTTGGTTGTAATAGGTTTCAGTTACAACACTCTGCCTATGATGGTTCAGCCTTCCCAAAGTTGAAGGGGATGATGCATGTAAAGGTAGGTTTAACTCCAGTTCCTTTGTCTCTCAGTTACCTCATTACCCACGGAAACATTCATAGTTACTATATACTTGTGAATTTTTCTAGAGATAATACCTACATGTAGAGGCATATGATGTGTTTACCTTTTTCTATTTTAGAAAGACACCTGAATGGTTTTAAACATTGTTCTGTGTCTGGCTTTTTTTCATGTACTCTATCATGGGTATTATCCCACCTCAGTATACATAGAGCCATCTTCTTTGTAATAACTACCTAGTGTTTTTTCATATCCTATTTTTTTCATTATCCTACTTCATTTCTTTTTTTTTTCTTTCAGTTTTTTCTTCCATTTCCTTCTCTCCCCTGCCTTTTCAATTAAATAATCCAATACAGACAACAATATGGTGTCATTTATGGAGACTTGTTAGCTGGGATTTAATCTTTATTTTGAAAGGGATTTATATTCACACCAATTACTGTGTTTTAGGCACAGGTTATTTTTTCATAAGAAATAGCTTCCTTGTATAGGGACATGTATTTTAAGACTTTTGTTTTAAATTTTCCAGATGTAAAAATCTTAAGAGGTTGACATTATTCTTAAAGAGTCTTCTCTATTCTCACAGGTCTTAGTTCAGGTCCTAATTTTCTTCCAGTTGTACTCTCATAATCTGTTTAACCAGTTCCCCATATATGGGCATTTGGGTTGTACATAATTTTACCTTTTTTCATTATATCATTTCATAGTTTTGCAAATATATTTGAAAAAAACACATTCTTTCAAAATTATTGGGTTAAAGAATATATAAACTTACGGATTTAATAGATATTGTCCACTATAAAGTGAAACTGATATATACAAACACAGCATACAAATGYGTGCTTCTCAACATACTAGATCATTAAATTAGTGAATTACTGATCTTTATAAGTCTAATAGAAAAAGGGATATAATTACCTTTTTTTTATTTTTGGCAGTGCTGGAGTTCAAACTGTGAGCGTAGCACCTACTAGGCAAACATACACTACTGAGTTCCACTCCCTCACCTTTTCTTTTTTTAAATGTTTTCTTTTTTAGTTRTAGTTGGACACAGTAGCTTTATTTTATTTATTTATTTTTATGTGGTGCCGAGGATCAAATCCAGTGCCTCGCATATGCAAAATGAGTGTTCCACTGCTGAGCCACAACTGCAGCCCACTGATTATACTTTTAGTTGGCGTTTCTCTTACATTTGAGGTTGAAAATGTTTTTAATAAATTTGAGCTTTTTGTATATTCTTTCTATTAACATGCCTTCYTGTGTAGTTTTCTTTTGAGTTCTGAATCTTTTTCTTACTGATTTGAAGGTACTCTGTGAAAGTTAAGGAAAAGCAAATTTGTGAACTGTGATATTCTGACTTGTTTTGTTTTGATCTTTGTCAGAAATTGTCTTTTTTTTTAATAATAGTTCTTCAGCAACTTTTTAATTACTGTATAAAAATTTTTTCTGAGGTCAAATGTATTTTATAGCTTTGGATTTTGTCCTGTTCTCAGAAAGGCATTGCCAACTTTGAAATAATAAAACAAAATGAAACCTGCCTTTTCTACTAATATTTTTAGTGTTAGATTAAAAAAAATTTTTTTTTAAATTTAAAAAATTTTATTTTTATAGTTCTGGGGATTGAACCTAGGCCCTTGCATGTTCTGATAAACGTGCTTTACCGTTGAACTATACCATCACTCCTGACCCCAATTTTAAAACTCCAGCTAGCTTTTGTTTTAATCCTCATTTTCTCCAATGATGTACAGTGCCACCTTGAGCTTATACTAAATTTCTACATTGATTTGGATTTTTGGATTGTCCTTATATAAGTGCCGTTTTTAAAGTTAACTATTGGATTATGGCTTGAAATATTTTAAGACTTTTAAATAATTTTTGTTTATTATTTATTGTTCCATGTGAGCTTTAGAATTATGTATGGTTTTGTTTTCTAAAATTGCTGGTATTTTAATTGATCTCATGTGATATTTAAAGATATTTTTAGGGAGAAAAAATTTTTGTAATGCTGAGTTTGTTTAAGAACATGGTATTTATTCACATTTTTTCATGTCATTTTTTTGTTCCCTAGCATTAAAATTTTCTTTGTATAACTCTAATTATTAGATTTTCCTGGCATTCATTCATATTATTTGCAAATGGYAACAATATTTCCTCTTTTCTATATTTTTTGTGTTTTCTTGACTAAATTACATTGGCCTGTACCTCTAGCACAATGTTAAACTTTTGTGGTGAAAATAGATATTCTTATTTTGTGTCTTTGGCAGGAATGGTGTTCTGTAATCATGAAGGAGTATCACTAATATTTCGGTTACTCTTAGGTTTGTCTTTTCCACATACTCCCGTCTTCTCTGTAGTCATTCTCTTTGATAATTCTGGGGCTTTTCTTTTGATTAAATATTTAAATAACCTAGTATGAATTGGTAGGAGGATAGGAAGCAGGTATATGTGGAAATTGGGGACGTTGTTAGTGGATTGGAGACTGAGTCACCGTATTAGAGTTTTATAGGCTGACATTTCAGAATCATCCAAGATCTGTAATGATAGCATAAATACAGAACTAATCAAAGCATATAGAGAAGATAAAATTGATATTTAATGTTATCATTATTTTGATTGATTGAATTGAGTAGATTATTGCATTTATTAAAGCCATTTTAAGAGTATAAAATTCTATGGCAAAGCATACAAATTCATGCTAATGTTTACTTTAGACTAAGATTTAATTTTGTCAGCTTTAAGTGCCTGTGTCACTATTCTACTTAGGTAAAATAATTATCTCATTGTAGAATATGTAATTCCAAAAACTTCAGTATCATTGAAGTAGAAATAGATACTGTGGATATTTAATGCCTTTTCCTTTGTGTATATAATTGCTTTCACACTACTTTTAATCATTTCAATAAGACTCGTGAAATTCAATCAATTGAAATGTCAATTTTAAGAGCTCATTGGAATGAAAATGAAAACATTACTGTACCTACATCTTGAAGATTATAAGAAGATTGCTAAATTAGATTTTATGTTATTGTGGTACTAATAGAAATGAGTCCTTTAAATTAAACAGAATTTAATGGTTTACTCATTAAACTTTAGTTGGACGATTCTCCTAATTCTTTAGGGATGTAGTAAGGTCATCTATAAATGTAAAGTTCTTGCTTACTTGGTAAAGCAAGTGGAAAACATTGTGGAAAAACATTGTTTTCTGTTTTAGTGGATTCATRTAATAGAAATTGGAGGAATAGGGAAACATATGAGAATGAATAGTGATAGYGTTCCTTGAGGAAACTTAAATAAAGCCCCTCCCTCACTTACAGTTAACATGAATTACTTGAATGACTTAATGTTTACAACATAGTTTTAATTCCTTAAATGGAAATTATTTTATTTCTACTTAAAAAAAATAACTCTGGCTCTTTCCTAGTCTCTCTGTTTTACTGAAGATAAAAGGGATTTTTTAATGGTTTATTTCCTGTAAGTAATTCTTTGGTGGGAAGCAGGAAAAGGCAGATGTCTCTGGTTTTCTTTTTTTTGCCTTTCACTTTCTTTTCTCCTGCATATAACAAATCCTAAAACAGATTTGAGAGGTTGGGAAGTTTTGTTATTTGTAGGGAAGGGCTAGGATAAAATCACTCAAAGAATTCCTTGTAAAATTTCAATATATGGTTAAACTGAGACTTTTAATTTGGAAGGAGATTATAATAGTTCATATGATTTTGCTCCCCCTATCCCTTTACTCTTTATGAAATAAAGAAACCATCTCAAAAGTTTAAGAGAAAAACCCTGAGCAAACTACTGCATACCTTGCATTTGCTTGCATTGGCTGTTTTAGATGATCAGCTCTTAGAGGATCTGGACTATGAGTTGTAACATCCAGTCTGAATTAAACTGCATATAGGTGTCTTTTTTTAAATCTTTTGTCTCCTTGCAGTCTGTGCTTTTCTTTATTTTTATATACTTTGTGACAGAAATGGAAAAAAATCATATATAATTATCCTATTTTCTAAAGATTCTTTGTTCAACTGAATTTTTAAAAATATGTATTTGGTCTAAATTGAGTTTTGTCTCTTTGTTCCCTACATAGGCCCAGATTGCCTTTCTTCAGGGGGAAAGGAAAGGTCAAGAAAATTTGAAAAAGGATCTGGTGAGGAGGATCAAAATGTTGGAATATGCTCTTAAACAGGAAAGGTAAATCAATAAAATGGAAGGTTGTGTTCTCTCAAATGACAAAATAATTTTTCCATCTTTCTTGAAGTAAATCCAAATTTTAATACTGTATAATCTTGAATTAAGGAGTATCTGTAATAAACATTTTTATATATGGTTATAATATACTAATCTTACTATGGTGATCAATAAACTGAGTTATATGATTTCAAATCTTTTTCCTTTCTTAAGAAGTGTTTGTACTTACTGAACTGTCATTATCCATTTTTAAAGGGCTAAAATAGCTTTTGAATTGTAAATTGTGTCTATAAAGTTTCCTGTGATTTAATATGAATTTGATATAATTTCTTTAAAAAATTGATCAGATCTGGCAGCCTATGCTGAGAGTTTCGTAGACTGTTTTTGGCATTTTATTGTTTTGTCATCAGCTATTCCTTTCTCTCTAGAAGCTAATTTTACATTTATTTTGCTAGTGTCTAAGATATGTAAGTAACGATATTTGTGTCACAAGTTAAGGAAAATAGGTCTTGTATGAGAGTTTTGCAGGTTATATGAATTAAGTTTATATACTTCGGTGGATGGTCTTTGGTTGTGTGTGTGTGTGTGTTTATGAGAAATCTAAGGCAGTTCATTGCTTTAGGTAATTAAGTATTTGGTAGTTGATATTGAAATTCTTTATTGTCAATTTTTTGCTTTGTTTTTTAAATCACTTATTTTTTGAAGTTGGTAAATGGACTATTTGTAAAACTGCCATAAAATAGAACTTAGGTAGTATTTATGAATATTGAGACATAAATATTTTTATTAGAACTTGTGTTCATCTTCATATAAGATCATTAAATAGTACCAGACTTTTTATCTCTTAGTAAAAAAAAAAAAAATAGTTGATTTTTTTTTTTCATACTTTGAGAGGTTGGTTGAAAGTTGGAGAGATAAAAAGAAAAACATTTTTTGAAGTATGTAATCTGGGAATTTTTGACATCTTAGGCCTTCTAAATTATACATTTAACCAAAGAAAGAATTTAGCATTAATAATGGTAAATTTTTTTTAATAACTACTGTGTTCTAGGCCCTAAAGACTTAGAATTAAGTAATGTGCATAGAGAAGCAGAGTTATAGTAGAGCTGAGTTAGGTCCCTCAGGATTGGTTCTAAAACCTGTATTGTTTACCAGCATATTATACTGTCTTGCAAGGTAGGAGAACTGAAATACACGAATACTGAAGTAACCAGAGCAGGTGCATGGGAGTGTATTCAGACTTGTAAACCACTAAAGTGTATGAAGTGTGATAGTTTCTATGGTAGATGTATGTAGGCTATACAAGGGGTCACAAAGAAGGGACTCGATATTATCTGGAAGTAGTAAGGAGGGCATAATTAGAGGAGGTGAAGCTTCAATAGCAACATAGATAATAAGAAGGTGCTTGCCAGTTAGGCAAGGTGCAGGAAGTAGAACATGTTTGACCTGGAACAAAGCCTTTTGGTGTATTCAGAAAATTGTAGTCATTGCGTGTAAAGAGTAGGGTGTTAGTTGTGATTTCATCACTGATAACATGGTAGGGGAGGGCCAAGTTAGATCATGGAGTTTAGAATACCGAAGGAGAGCTACCTAAGGAGTTCAGACTTTTACCTTACATATGATAGGAAACATGGAAAATTTTCAAGTACTTTTTATTCCAAAATTATCTTCAACTGACAGCACCTTTTAAGTATAATAAATTAAGGAATAAAAAAACATTTCTTCAAGTCCTGGAGCTCTAGAATATTTCCAGTGTTTTCCATTCTAAAAWTGTTTTCCTAATGCTTAAATGCCAAGAATTAAAAAGAAAATGTTTTTGATTGAGGAAAATTTGAGACCCAACAATGGAAAGACTAGTACCTTTTATGTACATCTCCAAGATTTAAYAGATAATGTTTGTCATTCTTGTTTTAGCGTGGTCTGTATAAGAGTAAATTCCAGACATCTTGTCATTTTTCCTATAAATACTTAAGAGCTAAGGCATGTGATGTTGTGTTGCTGTGTAGATTTTCTAAGTAGTCCCACTTTAATATAAAAAATTATTTGAGGGCTGGGTATGTGGCTCAAGTGGTAGGGCGCTCGCCTGGCCAGCGTGCGGCCCAGATTCGATCCTCAGCACCACATACAAACAAAGATGTTGTGTCCGCCGAAAACTAAAAAATAATAAATAAATATTTAAAAAATTCTCTCTCTTAAAAAAATTATTTGAAAACTGAATTTTTATCATTGTAGCAATGAATTTATTAAATTATTCCTTACAGTGTAATAAAAATTACAAAATAAGCAAATTTTCAGTTAGTTTTTCAAGAATACAAAGTGTATAATCCAAGATTTATTCAGAAACATTTATTCTCAGGAACTTCAAATACTATATAAAATACAGTTCTGAAACATTTCTCCAGTGTTGTTTTTCTCCATTCACTGCCACTTTTCTTTTATCTGAATTAATGTAAGAATTCACCTGTCTTCCTTGCCTCTAATATTTCCATTTTCTAGTCTGTTTTCCTTATCCACAGGACTCACTTTCTGAAACACAAATGGAATAGTTATGTTATAGCCCTACTTAAAAATATCTAGCCGATTTCAAAGTTATTTTGCAACTAGGTCCTTTCTCTAGTCCCTTCAGAGAACTCCATTCCTTCTAATACTAAATACACTGTAAAACTGCTGTTTGACCCACTCTCTATTTTTCTTATTCACTTTTATGGCACTCCTTTTGACAGAAATACCCCCCTCTATTAATTCATTTGTCTTACTAGAAAATTCTTACTGTTCTTTTGAGGCTTAGATAAAATCATTATCTTCTTTTTGATAGCTTTGTTTGACATGACCTGTTATAGAATTAGATAATCCCTTATCTATATTCCTGTAACACTTGATATAACCCTTGTAAGTTCTTATCATAGTGTGCTATAGTTATTTACATTCCTGTCTCTTAGGCATCTTCTTACTTCCATCCCTACCTGACTGCAAGCCACAGGTTATTCCCAGCAGTCAGCACACTGCCTTGCACGTTGTAGGAATTCAGTAATAGTTAATTGAAATTAGTCATTTTTTTTAGCATCAACATTTAAGATGTTATTGGGTATGCTATGTTTTATTTCCAGCACATTATTRTAACAGACTTTAACAACAAAGCTAGAATGAAACTTATTTAGTTTATTATAGTTATCAAACAATTTTTTTCAATAAGTGCCAATTGGGGGGAACCTGACACTTTTGTCAAATATGAGTTGTTAGACATGAAATCTGCTTATTTATCCTGTAGTCAGAGGATAGTGAAGATACTTTGCTAGCACAATGAGCTTGAAGTATTAAAACAATGGGAAGCAATATGAGTAAGGAAGTATATTTTAACATTGGCTTCAAAAGTATATTATTAGGCTTAAGGAGGGTTTTGTAAAATATTTCTTAGTGAATTTAACAAGTCAGTAGAGAGAGCATGATTTAACAGTTCTTTACATATTTTGTTTTTGTATGTGTGGGGCTGGGCATTGAAACCAGCCTTGTGCATGCTTATATAAATTGTTATGAAATGTTGGGTGTCTTTTTTGTTTGTTTGTATTGGTACCAGGGATTGAACCCGGTGAACCTGAGCCACATCCCCAGCACTTTTTATATTTTATTTAGAGACAGGGTCTCACTGAATTGGTTAGGCCTCACTAAATTACTGGGGCTGGCTTTGAATTTGTAATCCTTCTGCCTCAGCTTCTGTCACTGGGATTACAGGTATGTGCCAAGATGCCCAAGCAAAATGTTACTTCTTAATGTTATTGTTTTTGTTATATTTATTTTGTAGAATGCTTTCTGTTCCTTCTTGTTAATTGCACTGCAGTTTTTCCTAAGACCACTAGAATGCACTAGAATGCAATATTTTCTGCTTATAAATGTGTTTCTTTTTCCTTTTTTGTTTTTATGTAGACATAAATTCATAAAATTTCTTCTCACTTTATTTTAAAAGCCTTAATATAACCTTTCCTTGGACCATGTAGGTTCAGTTGCTATTTGGGCTCCTATGGAAATAGTATTACTTTGTCTTATGGTAGATGAAGTATATTTCTGGAAAATCTGAAGAATGACAATGACATTAAGAATCTTGTTTACTTTCTGGTAATTGTAAGTCAAATTAATTATAAATCTTTACTACTTAAGATCAACATTATTGTAAATATGTTGAAATAGATTTAGAAAAAAATTAGTCTGGTGATAATATTTCTCATTAAGAAACATTGGGAATAGAAATCCCCAGTGAACAAAAACAATTGAGACACAGGAAATAGAAATAACTTGGACCAAACATATTTACTAAAAAAATTTTTAAAAGATAGATACATACAGTTAATTAATCAAATAACTACAAAAATAGATCCCTTCTGCTTTAGTTTACTGATTTCCTTCCCAAGGAAATCATATTAGTGAATGGCTTATCTATCATGTATCTTTCCAAAATATTTTGTGCATGTGAAATTCTCTTTCCCACACACAAACACCCCCCACACCCACACCACATACGGAGGCATGTTGTGTATAATATTTTAGATCTTGCATTTTTGCTTAAGCTTAGAGATCAGTTCATATTAGCATATAACTATTGTTACTTCTTATTTTCTTATTCCTTCTTAATCGGTTACATGTTATTACAAAACCTTTTCTACATATACATAGGCATAAAGACAGATAAGAAATACTCATGTACCCAGCATTAGTTGCCTATAATTTTTATAGGTTTTTTAAAGACTCCTCTCTATATAAAACTGGCAAATCAAAAATAATTTGATTTTTCTGTTGTAACTGCAAAATGAGTATTATTGCAACATAATCATGAAAGATTTGAGTAACATATCTGACCAAATAATTTTCATTTCCTTTATATTTTTTTGAGTTATAAAAACATTAATATAAATGCTTCAATTAATTTTTTAAATTATTTATTCTAATTTGTTATACATGACAGCAGAATGCATTTCAGTTTATATTATACATATAGAGCACAATTTTTCATGTTTCTGGTTGTATAAAAAGTAGAGTCACACCATTTGTGTCTTCATACATGTACTTAGGGTAATGATGTCCATTTCATTCTACCATCTTTCCTACCCCTATACCTCCTGACTTCCCCTCCATTCCCTTTGCCCTATTTAAAGTTCCTCCATTCCTCCCATGCTCCTTCCCCCATCCCCATTATGGATCAGCATCCTCCTGTCAGAGAAAACATTTGGCATTTGTATTTGGGGGATTGGCTTATTGGCATAATATTCTCAAACTCCATCCATTTACCTGCAAATGCCATGATTTTATTCTTTTTTAATGTTGAGTAATATTCCACTGTGTATATATACCACAGTTTCTTTATCAGTTCATCTACTGAAGTGTATCTAGGTTGGTTCCCCAATTTTGCTATTGTGAATTGTGCTGCTGTAAACATTGCTGTGGCTGAGTCCCTGTAGTATGCTTTTTAAAAGTCTTTTGGGTATAAACTGAGGAGTGGGATAACTGGGTCAAATGGTGATTCCATTCCCAGTTTTCCAAGGATTCTCCATACTGCTTTCCATATTGGCTGTACCAATTTGCAGTCCCACCAGCAATGTATGAGTGTGCCTTTTCCCCCACATCCTCGCCAACAGTTATTGTTCTTTGTATTCTTAAATAACTGCCATATTGACTGGATTGAGTTGAAATCTTAGTTTTGATTTGCATTTCTCTAATTGATAGAGATGTTGAACATTTTTTCATATATTTGTCGATTGATTGTATATTCTCTTCTGCAAAATGTCTCTTCAATTCCTTGGCCTATTTGTTGATTGGGTTTTCTTGTTTTTTTTGCTGTTAAGATTTTTTAGTTCTTTATATATACTGGAGATTAGTGCTCTATCTGATGTGCATGTGGTAAGAATTTGCTCTCATTCTGTAGGCTCTCTATTCCCCTCACTGATTGTTTCTTTTGCTGAGAAGATGCTTTTGAGTTTGAATTCATCCTGTTTATTGATTCTTGATTTTATTTCTTGTGCTATAGGAGTCTTATTAAGGAAGTTGGGGCCTAATCTGACGTGATGGAAATTTCGGCCTACTTTTTCTTCTAATAGACGCAGTGTCTCTAGTTTAATTCCTAGGTCCTTGATCCGATTTGAGTTGATTTTTATGCATGGTGAGAGATAGGGGTTTAATTTTATTTTGTTTCATATGGATTTCCAGTTTTCCCAGCACCATTTGTTGAGTAAGCTATCTTTTCTCCAACATATATGTTTTTGGCACCTTTGTCTAATATGAAATAACTATAATTATGTGGGTTTGTCTCTGTGTTCTCTATTCCATACCATTGGTCTACAAGTCTGTTTTGGTGCCAATACGATGCAGTTTTTGTTACTATTGCTCTGTAGTATAGTGATGCCATCTGCTTCGCTCTTTCTGCTAAGGATTGCTTTAGCTATTCTGGGTCTCTTATTTTTCCAGATGAATTTCATGATTGTTTTTTCTATTTCTGTGAGGAATGTCATTCATTTTGACAACATTAATTCTGCCTACCCAAGAACAAAGGAGATCTTTCCATCTTCTAAGGTCTTCTTTAATTTCTTCCTTTAGTGTTCTGTAATTTTCATTGTAGAGGTCTTTCACCTCTTTCATTGATTCTCAAGCATTTTATTTAATTTTTTTGAGGTTATTGTAAATGACCTAGTTTTCCTAGTTTCTCTTTCAGAGGATTTGTCACTGATGTACAGAAATTCCTTTGATTTATGTGTGTTGATTTTATATCCTGTTACTTTGCTGAATTCATTTATTAGTTCTATAAGTTTTCTGGTAGAGTTTTTTGGATCCTCTAGATACAGAATCATGTTGTCATTGATAGTTTTTGAGTTCTTCTTTTCTTATGTTTATCCCTTTAAWTTCTTTCATCTAATTGCACTGGCTAGAGTTTTAAGAACTACGTTGAATAGAAGTGATGAAAGAGGACATCCCTGCCTTGTTCCAGTTTTTAGAGGGAATGCTTTCAATTTCTTTCCATTTAGAATGATGTTGGCCTGGAGCTTAGTGTAGATAGCTTTTACAATGTTGAGGTATGTTCCTGATATCTCTAGTTTTTCTAGTGTTTTGAACATGGGGGTGCTGTATTTGTCAAATACTTTTTCTGCATCTATTGAGATGATCATATGGTTCTTACCTTTAAGTCTATTGACATGATGAATTACATTTATTGATTTTCGTATGTTGAACCAACCTTGCATCCCCAGGATGAACCCCACTTGATTGTGGTGTACTATCTTTTGATATGTTTTTGTATTCAGTTTGCCAGAATTTTAGCATCTATGTTCGTTAGAGATATTGGTCTGAAGTTTTCTTTCTTTGATGTGTCTTTGTCTGGTTTTAGAATCAGGTTGATATTGGCCTCATAAATGTGTTTGGAAGTGTTCTTTTTTTTTTCTATTTCATGAAATAATTTGAGGAGTATTGGTATTAATTCTTCTTTTAAAGTTTTTGTACAACTCAGCCATGTATCCATCCTGTCCTGGGCTTTTCTTGGTTGGTAGGCTTCTGATGGTGTCTTCTATTTCATTACTTGAAACTGATCTGTTTAAATTGTGTATATCATCCACATTCATCATATGACTCTAGATTTTTGTCAATGCCTTTGATATTTTCTGTTTTATTGGAGTACAAATTTTCATAATAATTTCTGATTATCTTCTGTATTCTGTACTGTAGTGTCCGTCAATAAATAATAATAATACAGTCAAATTGGAAATTTCCTCCGGTAGTGTCCATCAATAAATCAATAATTGTAATTAATCACATCAATACACTTAAAGATAAGAATTATATGATCATATTTCCTTTTTTATCACGGATGTTAGTGATTTGAATTTTCTCCCTCTCTTTGTTAGCATAGCTAAGGGTTTATCAATTTATTTATTTTTTCAAAGAAACAACTTTTTGTTTTGTCATTTTTAAATTATTTCTTTTGTTTCAACTTCATTGATTTCAGCTCTGATTTTAATTATTTCTTGTCTTCTGCTTTTGGTGTTGATATATTATTCTTTTTCTAGGGCTTTAAGATGTAACATTAGTTCATTTATTTGACTTTTTCTTCTAAGGAATGAATTTCATGCAATGAAGTTTCCTCTTAGTACTGCCTTCATAGTGTCCCAGATTTTTCAATATGTTGTATTAGTGTTCTCATTTACCTCTAAGAATTTTTTAATATCCTCCTTGATGTCTTTTGCAACCATTGTTCATTTAATAGCATATTATTTAGTCTCCAGGTGTTATAGTAGCTTTTTTTTTTATCATTGATTTCTAATTTCATTCCATTATGATCTGATAGAATGCAGGTTAGTATCTTTACTTTTTTGTATTTGCTAAGAGTTGCTTTGTGGAATAACAGGGTCTATTTTAGAGAAGGATCCATGTGCTGCTGAGAAGAAAGTGTATTTGCTTGTTGAATGAAATATTCTATATATGTCAGTTAAGTCTAAGTTATTGAGTTCTATAGTTTCTTTGTTCAGCTTTTGTTTGGAAGATCTAGCCAGTGGTGAGAGGTGTGTTAAAGTTACCCAGAATTACTGTGTTGTGGTTTATTTGAACTTGAGAAGAGTTTGTTTGATGAACGTAGATGCTCCATTGTTTGGGACATATATATTTATAAGTGTTATATCTTGTTGATGTATGGTTCCCTTAAGGAGTATGCAGTGTCTGTCTTTAGCTCTTTTTATTAACTTTGGCTTGAAGTCTACTTTATTTGATATGATTTTTTATAAAGAAAAAAAATCTTATTTGACCATTTTCTTTTTCTTCCTTCTATAGTATTGCATTTGGTTTTTAAAATTATTGTTGTTTTATTATTATCTCAGTCTTAAAGCAATGATTATTTGTCACTGGCTTCAGTATTTTGGGGAGAAAATCAAAATACATAAATGCATTAATCAGATATGGCCATTTTAAAATCATCCTTTTAAAAATTTCTCTGTATCTGGATTATTTTTCTAATCTCGTGATTAAATCTGACATGGTTAATTCAAGATGGGTAAATCTCAGTAACCAGAAATAATGACATTTTGTTAACTTATAGAAGGACACAGCCTTTTCATTGACAGATCTAAATAAAAGATAAAGGATATCTTGACTAAGACAATTTTTTTATTACTACTAGAATATTTTATTCAATACTGATGATTCAATACTTTTAATGGTTCACCATAAGTATTCATGGAAAATTGTAAATAATCTAAATTACTGTGTTTTAAAAACAAAACAAAACTCAATTTTGGGAAAAGTTAATCTTAACACATTTATTTCATAGTCCACCCCCCCTTTTTTATTGCTTTTGATTTAATAGTAAAGTTCAATTTTAAGTCATTAAGAAAATTTGAATACTGTAGAAACTAGAATGTTAGGTGGTTGATTTGAAATTACAGGAAGATTTAKGATTCCTAGTGTTATTCATTAGTTATGATGACACTGATATTATAATAACAAAAACAAAAAAGGCAGGTGTTTTTGTGATAATGACTTTAACACCATGGAAGAMCTTAAGCCTTGAAAATTCTAGGAGTGTTAAGCCAGGACTACCACATAAACTGCTCCTGTTATATAACATAAAGTTCATTTAAATGTGTTTTAAGATGATKGATATTTTTGTCATTTCTTTGTTAGAGCCAAATACCACAAGTTGAAATATGGGACAGAATTGAATCAAGGAGATATGAAGCCTCCAAGCTATGATTCTGGTAAGTTAGTTTTAAAGGAAGCTTAAGTAATAAAAAGAAGTTAATGACTAATATTTTGTAGCAACAACATTTATAAATATAATTTAATTTCTAATCATTTGCATGTTTTTCTGATCTGCTAATCTGTTGGCATTAATCATTTTGTATCCTGTAGATAATTTCCCACCACCTTCCTTCCTTTTCCTTCTTCCTCTTTCTTTTAGTTCCCCATTTTCTGCTTATGTTCTACACTTATTGGAAAGTTTCAGGCTTCATGGGGTAACATGCACCAACATAACCTTGTCTTGCTGGGTCCTTYTAGTATTAATGGAAACTTTGAGATGCACAGTACAAAGTACATGATGCCCTTGAAATCCTGAGAAAGAGTAGGAACTATAAAGGTAAGAGATTTCTTTTTCAAAGCACAGGGGAATTCCTAATCCTTTAAACCTGATTTAGCGCCTGCGTGGGGGATGGAGGCCAGATTACTCTGCATGGTTTGGGCTGGAGGTGAAAAGACCACATGGACACAGATTTTCAGAAAGGAGAGGCCGTGGGGTGGGGGACAGCACGGCTCTGCCACCTCAAGGGTCCTCTTCTGCTCTGGAAGGCAAGAGAGCCAGTGCACCCAGAATTGCTTTATTTATACGGAAAAGACAACAAAGGACTTTCGATAGAATATTCTACATTGAATAAGGCAAGGGATAAGGTTTTAAGGGAGTTGCCCAGTCCCATTGGGTAACGCTCAAGTCCAGAGCTGAGGCAAATTTATTTGCCAGCTGAAGTTCATGAAGGTCATTTGCTTTGTACAGCACATGGTGTGTGATTCCAGTCCGACACCCCCTTTACTCAAGGGGAGTACTGAGAGGGGATGCTTAGCTCATGGGCAGGGCGGCTCCCACACTGACTGCTCAGTTTCAGACTGTTTTGGCCTTTCTCATGCACAGAAAATTCTATCCTATAAGCAGAACGTGTTTTAACAGGTGAAACATTTATCTTTTTATATTATTTCTTCTTTTTCTTTCCCCTGCCTTCCTCTTTACCCACCAAATAATAGAAAGTAGTACTTGTAAACAACATAGATATAATTCACTTATTAGTAGGTATAAGGGAAAGTGAGAAAAACTGTTCAGAAGTTATCACATAGGTGAATTTGGGGCATGATTTCAGATTAAATTCCTCAAATATCTAAGGATTTTTTCTTCATATTTCAAGTACTGAAAACTGTAATTTATCACTTGCTGAAATTTCTACCTATGCTAGGAGCTTTAGAAACTAYAATTATTTTATTATTATTTTTAGTTATACATGATAATAGAATGTAATTTGACTTATCATACATATGTGGAGTATAAATTCCCATTCTTGTGGTTGTACATGATGTGGAGTTACACTGTTCATGTATTCATATATGAACATAGGAAAGTTATTTCTGATTCATTCTGCTGTCTTCCTTCTTCCCATCTCCCCTCCCTTCTCCCCATTCCCCCTTCCCTGGTCCCAGTCAGGTTAACCTCCACCAATACCCCCCTCCTTGTGAGTCAGCATCTACWTATCAGAACGTTCAACCTTTGTTTTGCTCCCAAAACAAAGGTTTGGCTTATTTCGCTTAGCATGATAGCTTCTAGTTCTATTCATTTACCTGCAAATGCCATAATTTCGTTCTTCTTTATACTTGAGTAATATTCCACTGTATATATGTACCACATTTTCTTTATCCATTCATCTATTTAAGGGTACCGGGTTTGTTCCATAGCTTAGATATTGTGAATTGAGCTCTTATAAACATTGATGTGGCCACATCACTATAGTATGCTGATTTGAGGAGTACAATAACTGGGTCAAATAGTGGTTCCATTCCAAGTAGAAACTATAATTCTTAAAATAGTTATTCAGTAAATAAAATATTGTTCTCATGTCATGTATGTGTAATTTTAGCTCACAGAAGTAGACACGTTTTCCAAATTTCCATTAAATGATGAAGTGTAGAGCTGAATCCAGGTCTACCTGAAAAGAAAACTGATRAGGACTACTTTAATGTCAGAAGAAGACCAGGAGAGTAGAAACTAACAGAAGAGAGAGTTCCAAAGGAAGGAATGTTCATCACTGCTGATGAATTAATTCCTAGAGGGCTAAAGAGTATCTGTCAGATTAGTGGCACACAGGTTATTCATTGGGTCACTGAGAACATAATTGGAAGCAGTTAAGAAACAGGTGATGGCAGAATCAAAGATGTCAGTATAAAATGAAGACCAAATGCAGTCAGCCATTTTAGATGCTTAGCTTATGAAAGTGAGGAAGGACTGAAGGGCAACAGCTAAAAGATAACCTGGGGTCAGAGAGACTGTGCGTAAGTGGTTGGGGCAGGGTTCATAAATAAGGAGCCAATAAAAGGGAAAGAGTAGATATACTCAGATTAGGAAGGTATCTGAAGAAATGACTGGGATTGGATTCTGAATATAACGGCAGACACATTGGAGGAAGAACATATTTCTTGTTATTATCAAGAGAGAAACATAGAAAGTCAKGTAACAGATTGTAAGTTTGAGTTTCACTTTGGATGGTGGGTATTTGAGGGAATGTCCTCTTAATAGCTTTATGTATGAGACATTATCTACAAAGAGTTGATCAGACTTTTAAGAAAAGCAGAGAAAGTTTATAATACTGTTTGTGAAGAGGAAGACAAATTCACTAGGAGTTAGTAGCATTCAGAAAAACTAAGGGTTTGGTTAAGTTGTTGTTTTGTTGCAAAAGTCATTTTTCTTTAAAGAAATTTAAATAATAATATGAAAATTATATCTCTAGTACTCATAATGGCTTTGTATAGAACTGTATTTCCATCTGGTATTATTTTTCTCCTCCCTTTAAGACTTCTTTTAACATATTTTGTAATATGGGATGCTGGTAATAAGTTTTTTCAGCTTTTGTATATCTTGCTATCATTGTTTCTAATAAGATGTCTGCTATTATGCTTATCTTTGTTCCTCTGTATATAATGTATCCCTTTTTTTGGCTGCTTTTAAGATTTTCTCTTTATCATTGGTTCTAAACAAATTTCTTTGTTTCTTTTTTTTCTTTTTTTTAACTGAGGAATAAACCCAGGGCCTTGCATATGCTAGGGAAATCCTGTACCATTGAACAACATCCCAGCCCTTTTATTTTAAGACAGGGTATCACAAAGTTGCTGAGGCTGGCCTTGAATTTAGAATCCTCCTGCCTTGGCCTTCCAAGTACCTGGGATTATAGGCATGTGCCACCATATTTAGCTAAAAAAGTTTATTATGATGTTCTGTAAAATAAAATAAAAATGTTTATTATGATATAAAAATGTTTACTATGATGTACTGTAGTTACTTTTCTCCACAGTGTTTCTTAGGCTTGGGGTTTAATGAGTTTCTTTGACCAGTGGGTTTACAGTTTTTATGAAATCTGGAACTTTTTGGTCATTATTTCTTCAGATACTCTTTGTTTTTCCTCCCTGTGTTAAAAGCTAGAAACTCCTAGAAACTCTTTTATCAAGGCAGTAGCTGGGACAGTCATAAGGTTCATCCCTTTGCTTGCCTTCTCTCAAGGATCACTATCTTTTGGAAAACACGGTTTCATTTGTTTTTGTTTGTTTATTGGTGCTAGGGATTAATCCCATGGATGTTTAACCAGAGTTACATCCTGAGCCATTTTCATTGTTTATTTAGAGACGGGGCTTTGCTAAGGACCCACTAAATTTCTGAGCTGATCTCAATCTTGTGATTCTACTACCTTAGTTGCTGAAATTATAGGTGTGTGCCACTGTGCCCAGCTCATTTGTTTTGTTTCAGGCAGGAGGGTAAATGTAAATCCCTGTTACAGAAACTATACWGGATGTAGCAGTCATATTATCAAGAAATTAAACTATTAGCTATTTTATTTATTGATTTATTTTGGTACTGGAGATTGAATCCAGGTGTGCATTACCACTGAGCTACATTTCCAGTCATTTTTGTTTTGTTTTGAGACAGGATCTCACTAACTTACTGAGGTTGGCCTTGAACTTCTGGTCCTTCTGACTTAGCCTCCTGAGTCAACAGGATTATAGGTGTTCTCCATTGTGCCAGAGCTACCTTAAAATCCTTACTTTAATATAAAGCTACTTTTTAAATTTCATAAGGCAAAAATGAATCTGATAGTTGATAATTACTTACTAGAAAGGACTACAACTTGGCCTACCATGTAAGAATAAGAGTAATTTGTCTTTTAAGAGGATGGAAGTACATTATTTTTTGACTGGTCTTAACTTACTTTTTATTAAGGCATAATTTTTTAAGGTATAATTTCTGTACAGTAAAATTTATCATCCTTAGTGTTTTCACAAACACATAGTTTGTGGGAATTGAACCCTGGATCTCATGCATGCTAGGTAAGTGCTCTACCACTGAGCAACATCCCTAGCCCAGAATATAGCCTTTTTTGATCTGGTTTAACTCACTTCACATAATGCATTTGAGATTCATCCATGTTGGTTGGGTATCAGTTGTTCATTCCTTGTTCTTATTGAGTCAATGTACCATATTCACACAACATCATTAGCTGCCAAAGTAGTCAGTTTAGTATATCTGAGGATGGCATAGAAAGGATTTAGGCCTGTTCTGATGGGAGATTAAATAACCTCAACATTTCTTTTCACATCTGAAAATTTTAAAATCTTAAAGTGTCAGTGTACATGCTCTTACTTGGCAAGTACAGGTTATTCAGTAGACTGAAGGGTATAAATTGTACCATAATTATGTTATGAATAGTTCCTGAATTGCAAAATTTATAGAACAATGTAATTTTTTGTCTCCATATTTTAGTTGGTGCATTGTATTTATACATACTGATGGGAATTTGTTGTTACATATTTATACATGCTCACAATATAACAATATAATTTGTCTAATATCATTTTCCAGCATTCCCCCTACTCCCATATCATTTTTTCATAAAGTATTAGGACATTATTTTTGCCCTCCCCTGCAAAACACACACACACACACACACACACACACACACACACACACACAGTTTGCCAGTATATCCTCTTTGAACTTATCCCAAAGTAATCTTTCTTTTGGAGTTAAATTAATTTCTTTCCTCCACAGTCACCTCCAGTCCATTCTGTTACTATTTCTTTAAAATTTTACAGAACTCTCCTGAGTTATTTTAGGAGAAAACAAAACACAAGATATGATTCTTACTTTTATTCATATTTCTCCAGTTTTTTATCATTGTTGTAATAATACATGGAGGAAAGTGCTGGGTTCTAGAGGGAGTCAGGAAGGATTTTTTACACTTACAACTGTGTTTCCAAGGAACCTGAAAATTATTCTCTAAAACTTAGCTTTTCCTCTTTAAGATAGGGATAAACATGAATTTTTTTAATTTGTAAGAATTGAAAGAGAAGGAGCTGGGCTAGTGGCACATGCTTATATTCCCAACTACTCAAGAGACTGAGGCAGGAGGAGTGCAAATTTGGGGCCAGCCCCAGCAACTTAGCAAGACCCTGTCCAAAAATTTAAAAATAAAAGGGGCTGGGGACATAGCTCAGTGGTAGAGTACCCCTGGATTCAATCCCCAGTACCAATCAATCAATCAATTAATAAGGAAAGAGATAATATATATATATGTATTTTAACATAGATATGGGAACACAATAAGTATGCACTAAATGCTTAATTTTAGAAAATATGAAACAATTTCTTGTTCCCTCTTGTGTCTCCTCTTGAAAAAGATTTTATAAAGACTAGCAATTTCTTCATTTGATGAAGGACTGATTAAAAATATGATTTTTTTTAATATTGTGAAAGTTAAACCATAGTCTAGTGCGGAACTTTTTGGTTTAGGTTTCTCATAGAGAAATTCTTTTTATTAATTCTTCTGAAAGGATTCAGCTTGTACATAATGATGAATTTAAGCTTTAAAAGTTAAAAGAGGTTTAAAATTCAAAGAATGCCTTTGAAAGAATACTTGAAATTTTCATTTAATAACTTGCAAAGGAAACATTTGGATTGAGGTTATTTCTTAGTATATCTGCTCTTTATAAAATTAGATTTTTGGTCTCATTTCTAAATATTTTGTTCTGGTTATAATGTGATACCTAATACTTRTATTTGACTCTCACTGTGTATGACTTGATTGGATAGGTCTTGGTTCTAGAGCAAAATTCTCAGTCTAGCTAAAAGTAAAAATGTCTTTATATTCTACTACTCTAAAGGGAATCCAGTAGCATTAATTAATATGTGTTGGAGTTTTGTTATCGAAATTCGAATTAAAAACTTTTTTGGAGTGGGCACTCAACCACTGAGCAAAATCCCCAGCCCTGTTTTGTATTTTATTTAAAGACAGGGTCTCACTGAGTTGCTTAGTGCCTCACTGTATCTGAGGCTGGCTTTGAATTTGTGATCCTCCTGCCTCAGCCTCCTGAGCCACTGGGATTACAGGCATGCACCACCGCACCCAGTTAAAAACATTTTAATTGTCCTAAAACATACATAAATGTTTACTGGATATTTATTAATTGTGATGCCTTCTAATATGTAAAACAAGTCAGTTTTATTATGACAATGTATTTCACATGAAAGTAATAAAACAGAGGTGCAGCCACAACAGAACAGCCAGTTAATGTGGAAGCAAGGTTGACAACTACTAAGACAGTAAGTATCTCGTGGCCAATCTTATCAATAGTCGAGGATGAGAAACATTATTTTCATGAGATTGTTTTCCTTTTGTATTTTCAGTTCAAAAGAATAAGTTTATTTCTTATTTTATTACTGCTTTGAAAAAGCTTAATTGAATTACTGTTTAATTTTCATATTAAACACTTTTCCCCTTTTTCTTTTTGTTTTGTGGTACTGGGGAATTGAACCCAGGGATGCATTAGCACTGAGCTATTTCAATATAGGTCTAATCAGTATTTGCATGTATTTTTTGTTAATTTAAAAAATTTTAAGTAATTTGTTGAGCTTAAATTCTGAGATTTTGAAAATTTTGCATAGCATAAGCTTTCTCCGGTAAAATGTGTATCTGAGACTATACAGAGGAAACAGTTYAGTTAAGGTTTTGGTGTCAAGTAGTAGACTACACCATCTCARTGCCTGGTCCTTGTATACCACCTTTGAAACTGGTATTCAAAKTTTATGCCAAGGTAAAATGAAATATGCTGCCTGTTTGAGACTTTTGGGTTTGCTTCCAAAGTGAATGAATGCTAGCTATTCCTTTTGACTTAAGGAAGRTAATGTTACAACATCTCTTCATATTTATTGTTTATTTAGACAAAAATTAGAAAACAATCCTTACTAATATTTAAGTGAATTTTTATTAGTGTCCTCACTTTGGTCTGAAGTATGACTWAGGTATTTTGATTTTTAAAATAGGCAAGTTTTCTTAAAATGCTGATTTTTTTTAAAAAAAGTGATTTCATAATGATGTATCCAAGATATATTTTTAAAATCTTAAAAAGACCTATAATCGTCTTAGAAAAGGGTGACATTTTATCAGTTACAAAGAAACTATTAGCCTGTTTACTTATGGCTATGTGGTTTTGTTGCCAAAGTGAGGTACACATCAAATATTATTGCTAAAAATAGAAAAATACATTTTGGAGTACTCTGTAAGAACAACTGATAAAATTCAGGAAAGTTGGAAGTTTATTATTTTAATCAAAACTTTCTATATATATTCATTAGGATTGAAAAATGAGCATCTTGGTTTGGTAAGATACACTTATTCCATTTGATCACATATCTTTGTGAAATCTTTCTGCTCTAACAACTTTTGAAACCAAATCTTCAAATAAACTGAACTTAAACTATCTTGTCAACCTTTGTTTTCTTTTGTCCAGTAGACTCCATATCAACATATATTAATGCCTAATATTTTTCTATTGTTTATTAATGGCATTTGCCCTTTCCATGGTCCTATCCCCGCCATTTGGTCTTTTTTGATTAACTTTGGTGTTAAATAGGTATTCAAGGGCTGGGGTTGTGGCTCAGTGGTAGAAAGTTCRCCTAGCACATGTGAGGCCTGGGTTTGATCCTCAGCACCACATTAAGAAAAAATAAACAAATAAAATAAAGGTGTTGTGTCCAACTACAACTAAAAAGAATTTTAAAAAAATAGGTATTCAAGTGCTGTCTGTATGCCAGAGACAGTATTAGTTGTGTCTGTTTTTAAGGAAAGAAAACTCAGGTTTGGGAAAATTAAAGTTATAGGGCAAATAAGTGACAGAAATACATGTAAGACCTAGGTCTAACTCTCACTATAAAGCCTGTGCTCTTTTTTTTTCTGTGCTGATGCCTTTCTGCAACATGCACGAATTCACATACATACCCTCTATCCCACAATTTAATTGTGGTTTATTTTTATTTTTGAGTTATTTAAGCATAGATTTTTCTGTTCTACAGTGACTTTTGGGAAAATACTATATTCTTATATGATGTGGAGGAAACCATATGTACTGAAAACATTCTCTCTACATCTCAAACAATTGATCTGGGGCTGGGGTTGTAGCACAGTGGTAGAGTGCCTAGTATGTGTGATCCCCAGCACCACATAAAACTAAATAAACTAAATGAAGGTATTGTGTCCATCTACAACTAAAAATATATTTAAAAAAACAGTTGACCCATGACAATTTACATTTGAAATATAAAAAAGTTGCAATCACTATTATAAAATAGTAATTTGGTAGAATTTGGTAGTGAACATGCTCTGATCCTGTGGGAAGAATGTGCTATGAAATATTGAGGAACAGTTTCTGCATAGTATAAATGTAATGAATGGTGTATTGTATAGTTGATTTTTCTCAGTGACTGTAGAGGCTGGTACTGCAGGAGACAGCTCCATCTGCAGCTGGAATATTATTGACAAGTCTTAACTAGCATAGTGCTCCTAGGTCTTATGTAGGCAGTGTATTAAAAGAATTGCTTTTAATTACACATTAAATTTTAGAATACTGATTCCTATATGACTGAATTGTAAGGATCCTCTTCACACAGGTATCTTCAGGAGGTGGGTTACACAGATACTATTCTAGATGTGAAATCTAAACGAGTACGAGCTTTGCTGGGCTTTTCAAGTGATATCACTGACAGGGAAGATGACAAATTCAGGATTCAGTTATAAATGGCACAGAGGCTGAAGTTAAAGAAACAGCAATGATTGGGTAAGTATTTTGTCTGGAAAGTATTTTAGTTGTAACTTAGTTCATATTTAATATTTTTGATTTTGAAATATTACTTGTAGGTGGGATTTGGAAATAAGTTAAAGTTTCATTTGGTTAGAAGGCAACACAGGGTTCGTTGAAGTTAGCATTTGAGACTATTTAGTTCAAGAATGTAATTTCATATTTAGGGTATTTTATTTGCTTGAAATTTATTTAAAATAAGATTTTTTAATATCTTGAAGCTCAGTCAACCACTACTAGAACCTCATAAAATATTTTGATTTGAAATGCAGTGCTAATCTATAAGAATGGAATTTTATTATAAGTGACCCAGAAATCATAAAAATACCTCACAATTCTTTAGAAGAAACCTTTTTAACCACTTTTGTTTATGTAGTAATTCTGTAACTCATCTTTTCTTTGATGTAAAATATCTACTTTAAATATACATATTGTTAGATTGAAAAATTTAATAATTTGAAATATTTTTCTTATTGAACATATTATTATTATGTAGTTGTATATAATTCTAGTTAAATGAACACTAACAGTTAAATAAAGTAATCGTTCTTTATTGGGAAAAAATTTGCTATGATTTTTTTCTTTTTTTGAAAACTATTATTTTATTTTTTTATTTATTTTTATTTGGTGCTGAGGCTCAAACCCAACGCTTCACACATGCTAGGGGAGCACTGTACTGCTGAGCCACAACCCTAGCCCCTGCAATGATTCTTAGTTGAATAAAAAGCCTAAGATTCTCTGAAAACTGATTACGATGGTATTACATTTTAACCTATATTTAGGCTAATAGAATGGTTTTAATTGAATGCTATAAATTTTCTAATGAGAACATATTTCCTGTTATTTGGAATATAAACTAAAATTATAAGATTAGGTAAAGATACAAGGTAGGAATTTTATGAAAAAATGTCTTTGGAACCTTCTTAAAAGTATTCATTAATAATTAAGAATGTATTGGGACTGGGATTGTTGCTCAGTGGTAGAGCGCTCACCTCGCACATGCAAGGTCCTGGGTTCAATCCTCAGCACCACAAATAAATAAATAAATAAATAAATAAATAAAGTAAAAAAAAAAGAATGTATTAACTTGTATTTACAAATGAAAGTATAGATTTTTTCCCTGTAGACATAGATCATATAGGTATCATTCTTGGTTTTGTTTTTACCTTTTACATTAACCTAAGTCATTAAGTTAACTTAGGTAATATAAATATTTTTAGGGATGGTAATGCATACTTTTACAAAACCTTCAGTAATGACTTTCAGAAGAGATGACTCTATTTTCTATTTTGTGTTTACCTCTCTTTTAAACTGAAAAGGATGTTAGTCTGAATTTGTCAGATTTCTGTAGACAAAGAGAAAAGGAGGAAAAAATCAAAATCATAGCTCTCAGCAGATTTGAAATTGAAGATTTAGCTATTTTTTAAAATTTGCCTATAGTTGTGACTATAGTCCACCCCCCCCTCCTGAAAATGCCTTCTCATCTAAAACATTTTCTGATGAACTAGAGAGAAATCATTCTGTTGTGGCCCTTAGGAAAGTGTTAACTAAATTTATTTTGAGGGAGCTATGTTCAAGCCTTATATTTGAAAATTTAGTCATTTCTAAAAGATTCATGGTTTATTCATTGGCAGAGTCAAATCTTAAAATAATATCAGTTTGACTAGTATATTGTTTTCAATAACTTTATTTGTACATTTGCTCTTTTTACCTCCTTAGCTAGTTGTTTAACAAAAGATTGCATCAGAGAAAAATGACATATTTATTAGTTACTTAGTTATAAAAACTCATGTAAGAAGTTAATTGAAGAGTTGCAGAAAGAAATACATAGGGATAAAAAGGAGGCAGAGATAATGAGAGAAATATTTTCAAAAATACATTAAGGTTGATATAAGGATCAAAGTAAATCTGCATCTTGAGAGGAAGTTCTTTTCAGTAGATTATCACTAATTTTTTTTTGTTCATTTGGTATTAGAGTGCTTTTATACATTGATCTATGTCTGCAGTCCTTTTAATTTTTATACAGATTCTTGCTAAGTTGCTTAGGGCCTTCCTTCTTGAGACTGGCCTCGAACTTGTGATCTTCTTGCTCAGCCTCCCAAATTGCTAGAATTAAAATTGTGTACCACCATGTGAGGCACAATYCTAGCCATTAAGATAATTGAGCCAGATGTGTTGGCACTGTAATACCAGTGACTCAGGAGGCTGAGACAGGAGAATCACAAGTTCAAGGCTAGTCCCAGCATCTTAGTAAGATCCTGTCTCCAAATAAAAAATTTAAAAAGGGCTGTGAATRTGACTCAATGGTTAAGTGCCCCTAGGTTCGAGCCCAGGTACAAAAAAAAGTTTATGATTATAAAGTACTTTTAAAAGAATAGCCACTTCTTATATTGCTTTCTAAATCCATAGAATTGTAATAGATGAGAATCAATGTCATTTGAGACTCATAATATAATATAAATATAAGTTAGTAGAACTTATCAAATGAGTTGATTTTTATGTTGAGGTTAAAAAGAGTAACTGAGCATGATTATTTGTGTTTTAAACCAGAAAATCTGAGTTAACAGATTCTGCTTCTGTGCTGGATAATTTCAAATTCCTTGAAAGTGCAGCTGCTGATTTCAGTGATGAAGATGAAGATGATGATATTGAGGGAAGAGAGAAAAGTGTCATCGATACTTCAACAGTGAGTTAAATAACTCAGATAACATATTTTAAGGACTATGTTTACTTTAAAAATAATTCATGTGGGGTTAGGGATATAGCTCAGTTGGTAGAGTGCTTGCCTAGCATGCAAAAAGCCCTGGGTTCAATCCCCAGCACCATCTCTCACACACACACACACACACACACACACACACACCAAAAAAAAAAAATCATGCTCTTTAATATAAACCCTTTACTTTTTTTTTGTGAGAAATTGGAAAGAGCTTTGGTATAGATTTCAAATTCAAGAATGCTTTTAATATTATAGCTTTGCCTTAAAAGCCCTCACTTGAATTTTTATTAACTTATTGAATATGATAACATTTTATGAGCTAATGAATATAATGAAAATGATATGGGCTGAGATTGTGGCTCAGTGGTAGGGCACCTGCCTAGCATGTGTGAGGTCCTGGATTTGATCCTCAGCACCACATAAAAATAAATAAATAAAATAAAGATATTGTGTCCAACTACAACTAAAAAATAAAATATTTAAAAAAATAAAATGATAAACATGTGTTATAGCAGTCTAGTGTTATAATCTTATTACAATGTAATTGGCTGCTATAAAACAATAGAACTGGCATATAATCCATTATGGTGCCTAACATCAGCTCTGATGCAGTTTTTGTCTCTCTTTTGAGTTGCTTTGGTAGGTCAGGCCTACAGA